GTGATACGAGAGTCGCCGATGACGAGAGATGATAATCGAACGATAGCGACGATAAGTGGGACCAATATTCGAGTGAGAGCGCAATTAATTTCCAGATGTTGACAGATCTCGAAGATGGGTTAACGGTTGGGAAGAACGATTAATAAAGATGCGCGGGCACGCGTGTCACCGGATATAAGGTGCCCACACGGCCCCCATCGGTGGTATATACGCCCGCCCCACACCGACAAACAAACGGCAACACAATCGGCGTGTGCGTGTGCGTGTGCCCATGCCAAACACGCTCGCACGCTCGCGCTCGCACGCGCGCACGCTGCAGCACGCGCGGATGGACGGACTAACGGACATACGAACGGATGGATCGACACATAGCACGCGCATGAATATGTAGGATGTCTGGAAAGAAAGAAAAAAAAAAAAAGGAGACGCGAGGGGCAAGAGAGTGGGGGCGGCAAAAGCAACTCGGCGCGCATAGCAATCGGAGCCGCGTCATGCCAATAACATCGCGCCTAATGTTCGATCGATAAACCCGACGACGAGTTTTCCTTACTCCGCATCGATAACCGGCGCCAAGGGGAGGGAAACGTGGGGAAAGGGGGGAGGAAGGGAGGAGAGGGATTGGTGATTTATAGGTTTGGCTCGACGAACAAATCAAGAAAGACCGAGAAAGAGAGCGTAAGATGAGAGGGGAAAAAGACGCTTTATAGGAGGGACGGAGAGGGACGGGAGAGCACGCGTGCACGCATACACGCGCGATTATAAACATACACGACACACTGTGCGTTGAAATGAGTACGGGTAGGATAGGTAGGTAGGTGGTTACACACGAGAAGAGAAGTTTACAATTTTCTGCACGACGGCCGCTCGATCGTTCAAATGCCAATAATGTTGCGGATGCCAATTGTCGATAATTCAAGGTGTACCTGCCCACGATAGCGCGTGCGCGCGCGCGCGCGAGCTCCGGTCGGCGCTGACAGATCGTTAGGATGGTACCGGATGATGGGTTCTCAGTTTTAACGCCGGGGAGACACGAGACATGCGAGAAGAAGAAAGAGAGAGAGAGAGAGAGAGAGAGAGAGAGAGAAAAAAAAGAAACAAAGAGGAACAACCGCAAAACCACCGTCTGCCGCTGAAAGCGTTTCGGTTTACGCGAAATCGACGATTCGCGTATATCGCGCGACGAATGTGCATTAACACGATAGCAAGGCTATCGTTTTATCCTCGGAATGTCTGTACCTGCGCTGCCTTAAAGAGAGAGAAAGAGACATGTTACTTGGGAATCGCTAAGCGATAATGCAGCGATCGGAATGAGATTTGACAAGAGGACTCCGATATACGGCGTGACGCGATAAGAGAACGATTTCCCTATCTCGATCGCGCAGGTGGCTGCTGGTGATACCGAACGAGATGCCGCGAGTTATATTCGCGGAGACTGGTCTCGGCTACACGCATTTGCGACAGAATAAACATTGGTGTTAACGAGTCGAGTTGGCATAAAGTAACGCTTTTTTTTTCCTAGTCCGTAATCTCCCCGAGAGCGAGGTCTCTCACCTCTTTCTCCTCGTTTCGTCCAACATCCCCCGCTCCATGCGTGTAATTAGATTAATTCTATTCGCTCGACGTTGTAATTAATTTAATGATGACGCGCCACGCGAGCGAGCAAGATTTTTCCTGCTTTCTTATTCCCAGAGTCAGTTTCCCGGCGGAAAAGTCTTTTCCCGCGAGAAACCGCCATTGTTTCACCGAGTACATGTATTTTTAAAAGGCAAGACTCTTTCTAATCTTGCACGCTTCATCTTCGTCGAATCCGGGAATGAAAAATTTTTCCATAACGGGTATCCACAACCCCGATACGTTTTAATTGCATTTTTTAACGATACAATATTTATTTAATTAAATATCATCTGTTTTGCGTTTTACACGAGAGATTGAATATTCAGAAATATCCTAGTAAAAGCAGTGGATTTCTAGATCAAAGTAAATCGTGAGAATTTATTCCTCGTTAAGAGAAGAAAATAACGTTTCTTCTCTAACAACTTATTAATTAATATATAATACAGCCAGATCGAATTTGAAAATTCTCGAAAGACAATTAATATACGTATAAATAAGTATCTCGCGAGAAAGAAAATATATTTTTCATTTGCGCACTTACCCAGCATCTTGCTGAGATCGGCGTTGTGGAGATCCGGATTCTCGTCGGCCAACTTCTTGCGCTCGACCTTTGCCCAGACCATGAACGCGTTCATCGGACGACGTATCCGTTGCTCCTTGAGGCTCCTCTGGGCAGTGCCGCCGCCGGGATGGCACATCTTTACTCCCGCGGGGATCGGCGAGATGCCCTGCTGGTATTCCAACGACGGACCGGAAGCCAGCCAGGGCATGTCCTCCAGCCGCTGCTGCGCCGGACCGCTCAGCATGCTCGGTATCTGGTTTCATGGAAACAATGTCACATACATATTTCGCGAAATGTATTTCCCGCGGACGTTCGACATTGTAACTCGGCGGTGTGTTTTTAAGGGAGGTAGCGCGCTGAAAAGATACGACCAAGCGACGCAATCAAAGTACAAAGATACCGAGGGACTTTACCGTACCGGCTTTAGCGAAAGGGATGCGAACAATAGATATTTATTTAGCTATACTAGCCGATAACGCGTGTCGTTGAAATACAAGCGACCGGATTAACGACAGGACAAAATGTGAGATTAATGAGTCTCACGATTTTACTATCGTGCCTCCGCCATTGTTTCGCGCGGCGGAGATTTTTGACTTTATTCTCACGCATTCGTCCGCGAATAGGATTGTAACTGCGAACGAATCGTCGTGAATAACGTAGGAACGTAGGTGTATTTACAACGCGCATGAGAATGTATATAATACGATGGTATGCGCGAATAGGGGGGGGGGGGGGGGGGGGGAGC